TTTCCACCCTGAAATCTTTTTATTAAATTTTATTCTTCTATAATATCTGTTAAATATCACTAGAGGAAATTGTATTTATTTATTCAAACTACACATTACTCACTTATTTATTACTAAGAATAAATGGTTTTTGAAATATTTATATTCCATATTTTCAAATCCACAAAATTTTTTTATTTCTGTTCCAAATTTTACATAAATTATTAATACATTATCAAAATAAACCCTAAAAACAACATCATAAATATATAAAAATTCAATTACCTATTCTCTTAAGGCATTCCCTCAAACTATTACAAATACTTTTTTGTAGAAACACTCTTTAAGCACAATATAAACTAGTTTAAAATTCCTAATTTAAATAATTATTATTCCACTAAAATATATATATCAGATTGATTTTAAGTCTTATCAGAATTATTTTAGCTATGGTATTTTACCCTTTAACATAACAATAAAATTTGCTTTAATTAAAATAAACAAATCCATAAAAGTTCATTCATTACCTAAAGATGATATTAAAGGTTTAAAATTTATTAATTTTAGGAGTTTGAAGGTGAACGATTGTTTTGGTATAAATTTCTGAAGACCAAATTCTTAATTATTATTAGTAATAATAATACAGAAATCAAGTATGTTACTGAGGATGGATAAATATTGAGAATGTAATATAAATCATTTAAATTTAGTGATTACAATAAAGATCCATAAGAGACTCCACAAATCCTAAATAATTTAGAATAAATCAAATATCTTTAATGGGTTGGAGAGTATGGAAAGAATCTTAAAAAAGTTGGAGATTGGATAGCCATTTGGAAAGGTCAAAAATTAAAGAATGTAGGGGGTAAGTACTCAGAAGAAGGAAAAAAAATAGGGTTTTGGGTAGAATTAACAAGTAATTATATGGAGTAAGATTTAATTTTAATAATAATAATTTATAGATAATCATTAGTATATGAAGCTGGAGAGTATGTTGATGATTAAAGGAGAGGAAAATGGAAATATTTATTTCAGGATTATGAAATGTATTAATTTTTTACATTTTCTTGTGTAGAGGTGGTGGAAATTATAATAAAAAAGGAATAAAAAACGAAAATTGGATTGAGTTAAGTAAATCTTTTTAAAGGTAAATCTGATAAATATAAAAATAAATAAGTGATAAATAAGTCACTTATAATGGAAAATATAGAAATGGTAAAAAAATTGGTATGTGGGTTGAATGTTTGAGGTAGAATGGGTATTAATCCTTTTAAGTGATGTATGGATTAAAAATAATTATTATTTAGTGGAGGAGGGTATTATGATAACGAGGGTAAAGAGCTAAAAATTGGTAGTTGGGTAGAATTAATTGATTTTAGAAGGTAAATGAATGATTATAAATTAATGCATTAAAAAAAGCAAGTCACATTTAATGGATAATATAATAATGGTTATAAAATAGGTAGATGGAATATATTGAGTAGTGATTATTCTAATGGTTAAAGTAAAAAAATGTAATATATATTATCTATTCTAATTTTAGCGGTGGTGGATGTTATGATGAAAGAGGATTGAAAAATGGAAAATGGGTTGAATTTGATGATCATTCTGCTAGGTATAAAATCATTAACCACTATTTAAAAAGTGAAAGTAATATCACTTATTGTGGTGAATATAAAAATGGATAAAAAGTTGGATTATGGAATTTATATTGGAATGATGATATTTATACTTATTAATTAAGTGGAGGTGGATGTTATGAAATAAAG